CCTAAAATGATTGAAGATGGTAAAATTCACACCATGGAGCACATGATCAGCCCCATTGCTGTGCAGCCAGACCCAGCCAGCGCTGCTGCCGCCGCAGCAGCTGCCACCGCCATCATTCCTGCCGTCTCAACGCCACCGCCTTTCCAGGGCCTCCCACTAACTCCAGTGTACACAGTGGCTCCAAACGTGCAGAGAATTCCCATTGCCAGCATCTATGGGGCCAGCTACCTTCCCTTTGCTGCTCCGGCCACGGCCACGATCGCCACACTAGAGAAGAACGCGGCGGCTGCGGTGTATGGAGGCTACGCCGCGGGCTACATACCTCAGGCCTTCCCCGCAGCTGCCATCCAGGTCCCCATCCACGACGTCTACCAGACATACTGAGACTGGCGACTGGAGAAAGACAAGCCAAGGGGACGCGGCCAAAGGAACGCTTTACTATTTATGAAGAAAGAAAACGTTGGATTAGCGCACACAGGAAACCAGAAAGTGAAGAATGTTATCGAATACCACACAGAAATCTTTTATATCCCGTGAAGTTTTCCCCTAGTTTTTTAAAGACTTTTCCACTTCACAGGCCTGTGTTCATACATTTCTGTAAGATTTGCAATGGTCCGTGCCTTAATACCATCCTTTTAAAAAATGTGTATGCTGTACTACATTTGTATAGAGGCTTTGGTTTTTTGTTTTAGTTTTTGTTTTTTAAGGATATATTTTCAGTATGAAGGTATTTTCTTAACTTCTGCACTCCAGATATTTCTGTTTTGTAGTATCTTCAATAATATTTCAGCTATATATTAAAAAAGCACACTTGAGCAGCTAGGGAACTATTTTGAAGAATATAGTCAATATTTAAAGATACAAACCGTAGTGCTTTAAAATACTACATGAGATGTTATTTTTAAAGGTGATACTGGAAAGTGCAATTTTAAAATGAGTAACACCTCTGCTGTATTTCCACCAGCATTAAGGGCTGACGGTGTAACTATCGATTAAGCACGGATCTCTCCTTAGGGCAGCATGGGAAAGACTCTCATAACTGTCCACATACTGGAAAGCTCTCACCTGCCACTATTTCCTTGGGCTCCTGTGCCTTCCTTGTTAACCGCGCTAGCACCGCCCTACAGTCCCCACCCTCACCTGACTTCCAAGTTTGGCAAGTCTGGGACAAATGAAGAACACTGCTAGAGTAAACAACCGGTGGCTTTTATACTTCTTCCTGGGTTTTTGTTGGAGTTTTTTGTTTTGTTGTAGTTTTTGTTCTGGTTCAGGAGCTATTCTCTTCTATATGTGCTATTTTCAATAGCAGAGTATGTGTAAGCACAAGGTTTTAATATGTTTGCATAAGACATCTTTGCATAGCTATTTAATTATCCAATAGAAAACTTTAATTCCCTCTCTGATGCTTTTATTTTATTTGTTTTTAAAGTATGACTTTTAGAGACAAGGAATGTATATGATTGTAGACAAGACCCTAAAAACTCTTGTCAGCAGAAAGTTAAGCTTCTGGTTGCCTTACTGTGTTTCATGCAAAACGTGTGTGGACATCCAGGGCCTCAGCAGCATTACGGCTGTGGAGCAGGGCTTCTCCCTCGCTGAGCACTTGGCGGGTGAACTTGGGCCGTGCAAGTCCAAGAGGAGGAGAGACCCGTAAGAGTTAAAAGAGAGTTTGTAAATATCCTTTACTGCTTACTTCTACTCCTTTTATGTTGCAGAAGTTCCACTTTGTGTAGTTTAATATAAAATGAAACCATTTTATTTCAATGTTGTTAGAAGGGTTTGTTTTATTAGGAAGTGAATATATCACTGCAGTGTTTTGTGCCTGTTTAAAGGCTTTTGTTTAGCAGAGTGAATGTAAAATACAGTAACATGTTCAGATCGTCGTCTATTTTATGAAATACATCAACTTGGATTGTTTTTAAAGGCTCTGTCAAGGAAGTGAGGTGTGCAATAGGTAGCAAATACACAATTGTGTGTCTGTGTCATGTTAGGGGTCCATCAGATCTTCCCACTCACTGGAGTTTTGTTGATGGCTGAATTCTCATTTGTGAATTAATAATAGGGTCATGCCCTTAGCAAACACTTTTAGAGTTTTTTTTTAAATTAAGAGATTCCCAAATGCCTTTCCCCTCCTCAGCCTGATGAGTTTTTATATATAAGGAATATTTATTTTAACTAGTCTATAAAATTATTGAGTGCCTGCCGAGGCCTTTAAACATTCCTGATGTTCCTTTCCATCATTCTTAAATGACAGAAAGTAATTGTGCAATGTTCCTGGTGAGGTACCCAGCAAGCTACATCCACACTCAAATCTGTTGGAACGAGTATTCCAACAAAATGTAATGTGGATCAGAGCATCATCCTTTGACCTGTGTGAAAGAAGTCTTGTCCTTCCAGAGAAGGATTTCACATAGGTTCACTGGATGAAACTCGACCCAGCATTCTTACTGTATTTTACATGTGCCTGTAAGTTATTTGCAAAAAAGAAGGAAAAAAAAAAAAGCAAAAAAATGGTATCTTAACCTGGCCACTATCAAACTACCGTAAAAACAAACGTTGGTGATGGCCCGTTAGGTACCACTGAGCCTCCTATCTGTGGCCTTCTCTGTTTCTGTTGTTTCAAAACCATTTCATTGTACACTACTGGGGTAAGTTTATAACTTGAAATGTGAACCTTTTTTTTTTAGGGTTAAGAACAAACTATATAAATGTTTTTAAAAAAACGTTTT